GGTCTTGTCTGGGTTGAGCACCAGTTTGTTCGCTCTCATCCAGTCTTTAACAGCTTCCAGACCCTGGTTCATCAAGTTGACACAAGCCTATGGTTGTGTGATCAAAATTTGGGCGCTTGGAAACTGGCATGCATTTATGACAATTGCACTGTTCTGAAGTAATGTGATCACTATTTGTAACCTTCCCACCTGGCTTCCAACAAGCAAAGTCAATGGGGGAAGGCAGATTTGCTTAATGACCACATGATTCACTTAACAATTTCCATGGTTGGCTTAACAAATATGGCACAAAAGATTGTAAAATGGGGAAAACATACTTAACAAATTCCCTTGCTTAGCAATGGAAAGTTTCAGCTGCAATTGTAAATAGAGGACCACCTGTACTCTATCTTGGAAGCCACTTTACCACATTTGTATATGAGAAAAGAACATTATTATTTCTTGTTTTTCATATGCTCATAGATACAATCCTCTAACTCCCCTGTTTCTGGCATTTATTTTTTTTTGCTGTGAAAACAAGATTTTTATTCTCCAATGTAAATCATTAGACAAGGGAGAGCAGCTAATATACAGCAGTGTTTTCCCAAACTTTTTCCTCATTACCAGTTTTCAGAAAGTTTTGACTCTGAACTTCAAGGTCTGGTTATTTTTCCCTATCTTAAGCATCCATCATAATTTCAAATGGTCACTAAATGAATGGTAATTTAAGGACTATGTATATTATAAAAACAATATCATTGACTGATCTTTTTATCATTTCAACAAATCCACATTGGTAATTTCATCAATTTTAGGTCTTAATAGAAATTGTTTGGGAAATTTTCAAATATATTTTAGTACATATGGCAATCTTTAAGTCAGTTTAAATGTCCTTTTGGTGTTGGGTAATGGGTTCAGTTGTTTCCCAAAGAACAACATTTTTACCCAATTTTGGATAATTTACCCAGGTTTCATAACCACTTATATATAGTAAAGTAAGGGGCTAGAGAAGTTATTTAAAAAAAGAAGAAACAAATATCCACTGGTAATAAACCTGAGTAACAACAAAAGAAGAGATGTAATGTGGGCCTTAAAAATTGACTTGATAGAAAGGTTGGGTAAAAACAGAGGAGGGGAAACAAAGCAAACTAAGAAACAGTAAAAGACATCCAGGTCAATAAACAAAAAATATAAATATATAAATGGGTTGCCATGTAGGATATTTTAAAAATAAGGGACAAATAAAGCTTGATGTTAATGCCCAGAACAACAAGGAACGAGCATCATCTCTGAGTGTCTATTGTTAGTTTTAAAACTCCAGGTATGATTACCGTATAAGCATTAATTTTTTCCAGTTCCTTAATCCAGTTACAGTATTCTGATATATTGTTTTAGGAAATATAAATACAATCTTAATACTTTTTTAAAAAAGTAGTGGTATCATTTCACTGGAATTGGAAGCCCAGCAGGAATCACACTGGGAGGTGAGATGCGATAGGAGGACCTTGTGACATTAAATCTCTAAGCCATGAATTCCCTTGCGGTGTACCATGCCATAGAACCTTGTGCCACAAAATGCGCTTGGTCTTCTGGAGATCGGGACAGGTGGTGGGATTAGTTGTTAATGAGACCTTATATAATAAGGTCAGATACAAGGTTCCAGTAGGATCCTGGGCCTGTTGAATGGCAGCTCTATCCTTAGCAGAGCCTCTCACAGCCCCTGGCTGCCACTCCCAACTCATGTTGGGGTGTATTAGCACCTACACTCCCCACATCTCTTAGCAGCAGCTGCACCTGACAAACTTCCCATTCTCTAATCGCTCTAAATATAATGCAGCGGGCTGAGTCCTTAGTGTGGGGTCAATGAGGTGGGCTTGGAGGTATATGCTGTCCCATAGCTGTTTTCTCCCTCCTAAAACGAGATGGAAAATAGAAGTCATGTGGAGTTAGCATTTAAAAAGAAATAGAACCATCATAGCCAGAGAAGATTATTTTCCAATTTTCGTGGAGTGGCGTGCATTTCTATATTGATCAATAAGAAGTATGGCAATATACATAGGGAAAAATCAAGGTGGTATCTTTATTAGTACTGTTTAAAGTGTCACAAAAGAAGGAATAAATTATTCAGTCTTTGGCGAATAATGGCTATTAGACTAGATGGCAATTTGACTGCTTTTAAAGGCCATTTCTATCCGTCTCGGTTAAATTGTAAACAAATTGGTAAAAACTAATGTTTACTAATATTATGTAACAATTTGTAGCTTTAAATAAATAAAGCGCCACTTTGCTTAAAGAAGAAAAAATATTAATAGTTTATTAATAATTAAAATAACTTTTCTTGTGTGGGAAATATTTACTAGTTAAAGCTAATTAGAAAACCATTGTCAGATATTCTGTGGAAACATTGACACGTGTACAACGCATAGCTTGAAATAACTAAAATGTTTCTCATTTCTGTTTCTGTAGTTGAAGAATAAATTAGATACAAATTTTATGAAAGACTAGAAATAAAATCTTCAAAAAATATCCTTGGTTTATTTTCATTTTTTCTTTGTTTCTTCTCACAAACTTTTTGCAAGCTTTAATAAATCTCCTTTATAAATTTAATATGGGGAAATTATCCAGATAATTCTCTTAATAATTAAAATGAATATACAAGTAATAAATCAAGATATCAGCTGATTTATTTTGTCTTTTCAGTGTAACATCATTTTCTATGTCATTCTTGTAGCCTCTCATTTTTAAATCCACTTTCAAAACAGTCTCATTCATGTCAGGTAATATTTGTTATTCTTCCACTCTTTTCTTTTTCATTTTTTTTATTGAAATGAAGTAACAGCTTTTAATATTAACTTCTGGGTCCATTGTTCAAAAATATCCTTCAATATGTCCAATGTTAAAATATTTTGCTTCGTTCTATTTTAGTAAGTGAAGTTTGAGTGTTGTTCTTCTCTAATAGTAATCTTTAGTTTAGTATTTTAATCAGATTATCTGGAACTGTTTACTAACCAATAATTACTGCTGGATTATTATTGTTGGACCTAAAAAGCGGATATATTACTACTGGGAATTATTCTTTTCTTGGCTCTTGACTTTTCTCATTCTACCCCATTATGGATGTTTACAAAAAGCACATAAATTAAATTACACAAAGTACAGCTATTTTATGCAGAGAATAATTGCCAAGCTATATAGCAGATGAATGAGGACTATCCAGGTTCAAATTATCTATGACTTTACCATTTAAAACCCAGTTTTAATCAGTGAATTATATAATAAATGCATTGCTCACCACAATTACTTAAAAATTCAACTGACAATTTTTCTTAGTGCACTCTAATATTCAGTTGCATTTTGTATTTCTGACATAGGAATTGCAACAATTTCTGATTGTGACATGCTTAATATTGTAAAATTTGTACATGTTGATCTTAGCCATCTTATAGCAGTTTCACTAGGTAGATTTTTTTGTCTCTCTGTACAGTAGAACCTCTGGTCATGAATACTTCTGACCATGACCAAATTGGGTTCTGACCCCCCCCTCCCCCCAAATCACATTTTTTTCTGTAGCTGATTTCCTCTACCATTTTTTTGTAAGCGCCAAATTTCCAAAATTAGGTTCAGGTCACAACCAAATCGGGTTGCAACCAAAGTGATGGAATGAAATATGGTCTTGACCAGAGGTTTAACTGTATCTTGGTAGCGTAAAGATCAATATTTTGCATTACAGGGTTTTTTTACATTTTTCATTTCAGGGGTAGTTGATTTTGCAGTTGACTTTCATCTTGCCCAGATGGAGATAAGAAGGATTTGGATGAGACAGGCTGTACCAGAGAAGGCAATATTCCAACCAGAAGACGTATAGAAGCCGACAAATCAGCCAGATTATGAGCTACAGCCTCCAGTTGGGAACCTTGATTCTTAATAGCAACAGAGATAGAACCTAGTTCCCCATGGAGACCTTTCATTGTATGGACCAAGTTCCTCAGGGCTTGTGAACAGCAACATCTTTGATCTGCTTTACTTTGTTCGTGCTTTATAAGACAGTCTGGGGATGATTCGCAGTGTTCAGAATAGGTGACAGGTTTGGCAGATGAGACATTTGGATCTGATGTTTTGGTCAGGCCTAATATAGTAGAGAAAAGTAACAGTGACTTTTCAATATCCCAATTATAGCTAAGAGAACAATCCTTCCCAGCATGGTACTTTCTATATACATTGCATACATTAACTGAGAATTATGATAACTAAATATCCCAACATATATATTGTATAATGAATTTGCAACTCCCACAATGTTGATAAGGATTTCTATGATCTCCCAATAAATATTGAAGTCATCAGGATAAGGGAATGTACTGTAAAGAAATAGATATGACCTTTAAAAAACAAAGAACCTTTTCCTAGCCTAACAGTGAAGATTTATCTTCAGTACTTACATGTTTTCCATAATTTACCTTTTGAGTTGAATAAATTGTCTCCCAATTGCCCATTCAAAGTTCTTGGACTTGGGTACTGTTGGCTTGAATTGAAAACTTCATTGGAAATAAAGATAGATTCTGGTGCTGTTGGAACAACATTTTGTAGGAATATGAAATGAAATGAGATTTCAGAATTTTGCAAAAAGCACATTAAAAAAATCCAGTATGTTTTGCTTTTGGTGGATAGCTGGAGTTTTCTAGAAATCCCTTTACTCAACTTCTCTTTCTCTAAAGCAGAGGCGAGGAACTATGCCCCCTTCAACTGGCTCAGAAATTCGAGGAGTTGAAGTCCACATGTCATAAAAGGGCCATTGCTCTCCAGTCCTATTCTAGAGGGGAGGAGAAATGCTAGCAGTAGCTACAATAGCTATTTACTTTGAAAGGGGAAAACTAGGTTAGGTTCATAAGACATGTATTTATCCATGGTTTAACTATGATTTCTTAATAAGCCACAATTTTATGAGAGTCAGAATGTGACAGTGGTAAAAGAACTGGGCTAAGACTGAAAAGCCATTAATTTCAGCTCTGCCTTAGGCACCAGCTGAATGATGGGAGACCTACCTGCTCTCTTTCAGTCCCATATAGACAGCAATGGTAAACCATTTTTTAAAATATTGCCAATTAAACTGCAGGAACTTGTCCAGATAGTTTTCAGAAGACAAAGCTGACTCTAAAGCATGTCTGTCTGTCTGTCTCTCTCTCTCTCTCTCTTTCTCTCTCCCTCCCTCTTTCCCTCCCTCTCCCTCTCTCTTTGCCATTTTCTTCTAAATTCTTTCTTCCTCATTTGATGACATTTTTATGACCTTTGAACATTTCTAAATACAGTAACATTTTCTCTCATGTTTACAGTTTGTAATGTGATGGTTTCCTTTAGATTGTCTATAATTCTATTGCTCCTTAGTTTGGGTACAGCATGTATATATAAATGCATGCACATATTTTTGATTGTTGAGAAAACATTATAAATATTCTATACCATGATGGTTGGGTTTAAATAACACTAACTCAAAATCAAACAAATTGCATTACAGTTTATTTTGAATTGTGGCCTCAGTCACACGGTTGTTGCAATAATACTAATGGAGAAGAGATTAGCTACTGCTGTTATATTTTGGATTCTTTTTTTCCTTAGCCATCCTGAACCACTTGTCAATGAAATGGGTGGCATATAAATTTAATGAATGAATAATAAATAGATAAATAAATAAAGCAAGCAAGCAACCTGCCTTTTCCTTCAGGAAGATAAAGAAACTAACAGAAAGGAGGAGCTGCCCCATCTATATGTCTGCTATTGATTTCCTGGAATTTTGCTCCAGGAGAAAAATGAAACTATATTTCCCCTTCTCCAAAGTAACTACATACCCTTCTTTTCTTGTAGCAAGAAAGACAAAGGTAAGAATTACCAATGCTAAAAGGGAACCAGATAGAGATTCATTATCCGCAACACATCCTATCTTGGGCCTTGCTTTGGGACTGTTACTCACCTGAGAGTTCTACAGGATGGGGATCTGTATTTGATTCCTCCTGTTTTTCTTGATTTGATTTCTCTTCATAATCTGTGACTTTGGAGGTAGTTGTTTCAATGTGCCTTTCAGGTTGCAAATTCTTTGTGGTTATAGGCAATTCCATCTCTTTTGCGACTTCCAATCTTTTTCTGAATTCAAACAATTCATTCCTCATATCAGATGCCCTTATGACTTTCTCAGGTTCCTGAATCCATGTGGCAGTGGTGATATCCTGATTTTCATTGAAAACATCATTGAATTCTATTTTCTTGGTAACTGGAGACACTTCAGCATTGCTATCCCAATAGATGGAAGGCGCTCTCTCAGGGTTAAATGATTGTGCAAATGGAGGTGGTCCTGCTCCTGATGGCCTTTCCCTGTCTGATTCAATATCTCTCGTGGATTTAAATTCTATGGATTGTGAAATGGGCATTTCCGTCCTCTTTTGAAATGATGACATGATCTTTGAAGAAATAGCTGATTCCGTCTCCTGAACATGCTGTGGGTTCTCTGAATTATACATAGTTTTATCTATGAGTCCGGGAGTTGTTGACTTTATTTCTATTTGAGATTCCGTATACCATGTGTTGGAGGATGGCTGAAAATTTTCAGTGGAAGAAATTGATTCTTTTTTCCATTTTTGTATGGACAGTCTTGTTTTAAGGAAGTTGTATGAATTTTTTTCCTGCATGTGCTGCAATGTATTTGGACTAAGTCTTGATTCAACAATACCTGAAGGATTTATTGACTTTGTCTCCTTTTCCAGTTCAATTTTGACACTTGGTGTTTTTAAAAAAGGCCCCACAGTGTACCATTGATTGAGAGACTTTATGTTTGACTCATCTGAAAATTCCTGGGTGTTTGTGGTAATCTCTGCTACATCCATCACATTTTGCAGCTCTGAATTGTTTGGAGATACTGGCTCAGGTGTGAGAGAGATTGGTTGTTCAGTTGCCTTTGAACTACCAATTGGTTTTTGGAACAGCAGACGTTTCCACTTGCCTAAAATCAGAAAATATTTACTAGTGTCAGATTTACCGGTGTTCTTTCCCCATAACACTAGTTATTTCTGGCCTTTCTCAGAAGCCTGGCAAATGTTCTCATTAAACATTCTAGGATGAAAATAGGAAAGTTCCTCACCTGTGCAGATGACAGAAGCATCTTCATGATGATTGCAGTTATGCTTTCCCCAAGGCTTAGAATGACAGCGCTTTATAGTAAACTCTCTCCCAGTGCAGTTGACATCATCCAACCAGATAGGTCCAGATCCTGGTCCATATCGAGCATTGCCTGGACTGAGAAGTGGAGCTCCACAGTCCAACTCACGGCATACAACAGCTGCATCCGCCAAGTCCCAGCCATCATCACACACTGTGCCCCACTGGCCTTTGTACAACACCTCTACCCGTCCAGCACAGGATTCAGGGCCATCTACAAGTCGCAGATGCTGCTGGCCTAAGATACAAGGAGAAGGAAATGATTAAACAGAATTACAGGTAAATGTCTTCATCAAAATTTTGCCTTGAAGAACATGATTTCTCATTGGTGTATTTACTTGCATCAGAGAAAAATATGTAGTGTTTGAAACAATGGGGAAATGATCCTGCCTTGACTAGGGAAGGAAGAATAAATAGAAATTTTAAGAAAATGAAATATATGCAGTGCTTTATTTACCATTCTTTGGATATAAATTATTTATGATTGTTTCTGCCAACATCCACCCACTTTCCATGTTCTGTTTTCTAGTGGATTAAATATAATGAGAAAACATATCCACTTCTTTACTTCATATCTCTAATTAGAAGTCCCTGTTCTTCAGACATACAAGCAACTTTGGCTGGAACCATTCTATGAAATCCGAATACAAATCCATTTTAATCCATGTTTTATGGAGCCGTTGAGAAAGAACACTTCGTGAGTATTTACAACTAAAGTAAATATGATATGATAGGCCATCACTGGATTCCCCGAAGAGAGTACAAACTCTTCTTTACATGATTTGTTTCCTTCCAGAAATGGAAACTAGGAATTATCTTCCTATAAGATAATTTTAAAAAATCAACATTTCCTAAGAAAATTGATAGTCTTTTCTCACCAAGAGACAGATTTAATTAGGCATATGAACAGAATTAGGAAGACAGTACAAACTTCCTGGTATCTATGAAGACTTGGTCTTGAATTATTGGAGGAATACAGAGGCCTCATTCTGTTCCTTTTTATCTAGTTTTCCTCAACTACAAAAACCTGTAGAACACGAACAGCAATGCAAGACTGGTCAATAAGCTTCAACAGTATAGTTCTAGTGGAGTTTCATTTCAAATATGAATAGTAAGCCAGTAAATCATTAAACAAAGTACAATAACATCTCTCTATGTTACAAAACTACTGCCATTGAACACTATTTACTATTTCAGTATACGATTTTGGGTAAATGGGATACCTCTTACCCTAAATTGGCTAACTAAAGTAAGTGGTTACCAGAACCTAGCATGATTGCACAAACTTTATAACAGGGTTATAGAAATTTGCAGCAGTGGTGAAGGGGGGAATGGGTTTACCTCAGTTTAATGGCTCCACTTCCTCATCTGAGAGAACCTGAGTTTTAATATATTTTCTCTTGAGGCATATGAAGAAGGATGTAAAATATATTATATTATAATATTTAAGCCGCTTTCTCTCCCCTTTTGCTTTCATAGATACTAGCATGGATACTTCCCACATATATAATAAAAACTGCTCCTGGATTATTTATTGCATCCTTTCCTAACTTAATGTTTTAGGTTGAGACTTTAACTTGGAAGGGTTTCCAGCAACTGTAACCAAAGGCAATGTGTTTCTTCATATCAGTAGGTTGGAGAAGACAGATCTAAGTTTTCATAAAAGAAGTAGTCACATATTTCTCCTTCTTACTCACCACTTTCTGAAATACCCCCTTTGAGAATTTCATCTGTGGGTTCTTGACTAGTCAAAGTTTCTTCCTGGTTTCTTATAAAGTGAATAGGATGTGGAATTTGATTTGGTGCCGCAGACCAGGATTTCTGAGGAGCTAAAGTCTTTGTAAGCATGGCTGTATGCTCTTCTATCATGGCAGCGGACATTGCACCTGTTGGAAAAGAAGTAAATAAATGACAGAGCCCATGCCACAGTAGTAATTCCACAATTCTTCAGAGCAAAAATAGTCTTGTATAAATGTATTGTCTTTGTAAGGGCTGAATACATGGGTGGCAACTTGAACTAGAAATTTTTATTAGCTTGATATAATGGATTTTCTCCAAAATAATCTTGGGGGAAATGATGAAAAGCTAAGCAATCTTCTCCCATTTCCTATCATTCACATGTATTAGAATACAACTCTATCAATTACACACCATCACAGTCTCTTTAACCATACCTGCTAGGATTTTGAGAGTTGCTGTCCCAACATCTCTGGAAAGTGCCAGAGTGTAAGCGACTATGTTAGAAATTCCTAGTTCTTTTTCCTATAGTGCTCCCCTTCAAGACCTAGTTTGGAATATGTTCTGGGAAGGGTAGGTAATTGTTGTGTCTTATCATTCTCACCTGAACACACAGCCCCAGCATCTTCACTGTGTCGGCAGTTGTTCGTCCCCCAGGGACTGGTGTGGCAGTCTACCAACTTTGACTCTTCTCCTTGGCACTGCACATCATCCAGCCAGATAACACTATTCCCCTCACCAAAGAAAGCACCACCTGGTGCTGCCAGAGCTTCTCCACAGTCCAGCTCTCGGCATATAACAGTAACATCCAGAAGGTCCCACATGTCATCACATACTGTTCCCCACTGCCCTTCATGAAATATCTCTAGCCGGCCAGAACACTGATTTCTGCCTCCCACAAGTCTTAGGGTTTCTGGAGAGAAAAAGAAGGAATTTAAGGCAGATTGTGGAACATATGAAGATAGGTTTGCTATATACCGTGTTAAAAACGTAAAGATAACATCTCCCTTTCATCAAACTTGAATTTTCCTTACTTTAAGCTTGAAAACTACACATCCATAAATTTAGAGTATCTTTTTCTTAAGTGAAAAATATTTTTCTCTAAATCATATCCAAATCTTTTGCTTTGTTTGTTTTTTATATAAAATTCTTTTAAATCATGAGGTCTGGTACTGCCTCTCCTCCTTACTTGCCCCAAAATATTAAATTTACAAATTATTTTTAAGTTAAATGACTCAGATCAAAATCAGTTGTATAAAATGGAGGCATCTCCCATCTCCCCAGTGACTTTTAATCCTGTTCTGAAGACTGACAATTTCTGTAAAAACAGTGGAAGTGTGAATTTTATAATTGTACTCACTCTCAGTAGGTGTAGGAGATACAAGTGGCCTTATGGTTGTTACTGCCTCCATTTTGCCCTTCTTGAAAGATGTGTGGGCAGGAATGGCAGTGAAAAGAGGGAAGCGTTGTTCTGTGTAAAGACAAGTGGGAAGGAATGTAGGTTTCATTGCTCCAGAAGGCACAGAAAGCTATAAAACTCAGATCTGTATGTATTGATTTATTTAAAACATTGGTACAGCTTCCCCATCTTAAAAACAGCTGCTTTTTCCTTCTCCTGTTCAATCATATCTGATTCTGGGAGACTGCCTGGAGAGTTTCCTTGGCAAAGTTTCAGAAATGATTTGCCATTGCCTAGGCCTGAGAAAAAATAATTGGCCCACAGGCATCCAGGTGGGTTTGTACCTAACTTGGGGCTCAGAGGTGGGTTGCTCCCGGTTCGGCCCAGATCAGGTGAACCGGTAGTAGCTGTGGTGGGATGCTCCGCCCACCCGTCTGGACGCTTCTGTGCATTTGCGAGTGTGCATGAGCATGTGAGCGAACCGGTAGTAAAAAATTTGGAAACCCACCACTGGTGGGAGCTAAAATTCATGGTTTCTAGCCCGATGTCTTAATCGCTGTGCCAAACTGGCTAAGGTGGGTTATACCCAACAATAAAAGCTATGTATGAATTAAAACGAAAACCATAACTCCACCCTACCCCGAAGGAAAAACAGAAGAGCCAGGTCTTTAACTGAAAATTAAAAGAGTCTCCAGGAAGAGGCATCCCATAGGACAATGGTTACAATGGAAAGGCATACTTTTGAGACCCACAATGGGGATGTACTTAAGGGAAGGAACTTGGAGCATGCCTTGGCATATCTAATGAGATGGGTAGATAACTCAACAAGAGGCTGTTTGAGGGGCTATCCTTGCATTCAACTCTTTACATCAGGTTACACTTAGTACAGTAAGAGGCTCAACTTTGAAAGAGGATTTGGTCAATTATTTATTAGTTAAGTTTCAAGGTGTGGACAGAGGAAAACTTCTCCATTAAATTAGATGCCAGGAATGTCCCTATATTAAAGCTAATATTGGAAAGACTCCAATTGTCCCAAACAAGCTTTTGTTATAACTTAAATGTTTGTCTTTGTTTCTCAAATACTGATGTGCACTTGAAACAGATTTGGTAACTACTCTAAGTTAAGACTGTGTGATAATCAATTCATCTGGTATAGCCAGCTGTATGGAGGAGCAAATATTTGGACCTCTGTAAAGAAAGTGTAAAAATATTTGTAATGTCAAGAACTGACATACAGTTGTTATTTATGTAGTATATAGAAAATATTTCCTGTGTCTGAACAGTTGGGCCTGGAACAAAAATTGCTTTTAAAGAAATATGATGATATTATTGCTTCAGGCACAGTTTCCTACTCTTAGTTTTTCTTATTTTTTCTGGGATTTAGGTAATGGTGAGAATTGTGTTGAGTCATTGTTGGGCAATTTTCTACATCTAAACTATAAATTAATAAATGAGCTTCATATTTGCTCCCTGTTTTATGGGTAGGTTTCAATCATGACATTGATTTTCTCATTTAATGATTACAATGTAATCATTATGTATGTAATACAATAAATCAAGCTGAAAACAATGCCTAAATCAGGGAGCTACTAAGGAGAAAACCACTACCCCATCAAAAAAGGCAGGACAACTGCTATATACAAGAAGAAAGTGAACCCCATCAGCAGGTTCTGACCAGTTCTGGATAACCAGTAGCGGAAATTTTGAATAGTTCAGAGAACCAGTAAATACCACCTCTGACTGGCCCCGCCCCTATCTATTCTCTGCATCGCGAGTCCCAGCTGATCAGGAGGAATGTGGATTTTGTAGTAACCTTCCTCTGGAGTGGGATGGGAATGGAGAGTTTACAGTATCCTTCCCCTGCCATGCCCACCAAGCCACACCTACTAAGTGGGAACCGTTAGTGAAAAAAATAATCCCACCACTGAACCCCATACGTACTCACACCAATGATATTATCTAGTACGGTAATGAAACATCTGCCACCAAACAACCAAGCTCAGAGAGCATCAAGAACTCCACAATAAATTACTTCTAATCTTCTTAAACAATCATTTTGTGAAAACAGTTGGAAGTAACAAGAGCCCTACCTGAGCAGATGGCACTGGCATCTTCCTCATGGGTGCAGATATGCTTGCGAAAGCCACGGTGATGGCAGGAAAGCAGGCGCCTCTCAGTACCTGCACAGTGTACTTCATTGAGCCAGATAGAACCAACTCCTTCACCAAACCAGGCTCCATGAGGTGCTGAAAGGGCTTCCCCACAGTTTAGTTCTCGACACACAACAGCAACATCACGCAGGTCCCAATCATCATCACACACAGTCCCCCATTCACCTTTGTGGAGAACCTCTACCCGTCCTACACAAAGGTTAGGACCTCCCGATAAACGTATCTGGAAAGTGCCTGGAGAGAGAGAGAGATCCACAGGGACACCCAAAGTTTTCTCTCTTCACTTTCAATAACGTACCCTGAATATACTGAAATCTTTTCCCTTGAACTTATATAAATCAGTTTTTATCATTTAGTTATTTGCTTTACATGATTTCAGAACCAGAATCAATAGATAAAAGTTATTATTTTTATAAAGAAACACACATCATCTGCAAACTGGTAATAAAAAAATAAAAAAAATTATAACATGATAATTTGTGATGTTGCTATTCTTGTATAAAGAATATACATTACAGAAAATGCAAATCATGTTCTATATTTTATTGCACAAGTCAACCCATCATTTGATTAGTTTATCTGGAAGCATTCTGACATACATACAATGAATTAGTAGTGTTCACCGTAATGTTCACATTCTGAGTACAATGTATAGTGAACTAGTCTGGTCCACTCTAGTTTACATGTAAAATGCAAGACAAGGAAGTGCAACAAAAGAGGGTCTTGTTCCATCACCACAAACAAATTTGGTGCTTTAGCTGCCCATTTTTCAGCGGTTTCCCAATTAATTTTCTGTAATTGAAAAATCTGAGGTTCCCTTGAATTTGCTGATATTGCCCTCTTGTGGATGACAATGTAAAGCATAAACATCCATATTTGGAAAAAGAGCTTGGATATATATATGGTAGTGACTATAGTTTATAGATCATCAATCTCAAATTGATCAGGACAAAGATCAAAGTAGTCAAGTTTTAATTGGATTTACCTGTGACATGAAGTTTCAAGAAGACAACTGCAAAAACAAAGCAAGAGAGAAGTGAAAGCCAGTATTCCTTACATTCTGGGTTTTATTTAGATAGATGCAATATTTTCAAGCCTTAGACATTTGGGAAAAAATTCTCTTTTAGAGATACAGAAGCAGTTTGAAATAACATAAGAGGAAAATATTTTTTCAACATCAAGCTCATGTAATGATTTTATTGATACACTTATGCAATGTTCTTGGCATTAGAGCATGAAAGTTGTATGCTATTGTTACTACACATTTTTTTCAGCTTGTGACCTTACCTTATAATTTTGATATACAATAAATATTATATTAATAACTATTGTAATTTCCAAAACAGTATCCTCTAAGGCAATTTATGTTTTTCTAGTACTGATTTAATTTGCGTATCTTAAGGCACAGCATGCTTAACAATTGCTTACTGAATAAACCATAGTGTCTGAATAAAACACAATGGCTGAGTTTTACACTAAGCCATAATACTAAATTTGCTTGATCTTATCTCAAATATGAATTCAGTCAAAATTCTTTTTTCTGTTTTAGCTTGTTAATAATATTTCTTTCCTTACAAACTTTACCATCATCAATATTTAAGTATTTGGCATTTTATACTAAACAAGTCTGATTTCCAGGAAACTAAAAAGATACAGTATACTAGGATACATTGGAAACTTCTTGGCTTTATCTTCTGATAATTTCATCAGGTCATGAAATAATTAAGGCTCAGTCTACCATTATGTAAATAAGAAATCCAGCGTAGATAATGCATGTTAAGACATGACTTGACATTGGATCGGGCCATTTGATATTTTTCCGTGCATTACATACATTGAGTTGCCAGTACTGAGGTTAAGAATTAACTAATATTCTATGAAGGTTCTATATGTGGAAAACATGCCCCCTTTGCTTCAGAGAGAACGACCCCTAGGACAGTCCTGGATCCATTTTAGATCCCAGGGTTTGTTTTCTTCCTGGGCAACTCAAAATCTGGCTTAGAATAAATGTATCAGTTGCAGAACACATCATTTCCTTCTGTCCTGACCACTTTTTTACAGAGGCACAATTGAGAGCTTTTAACAAACTGCAGCACTGTTTGGTGATTGCCGTGCCTCAGTGACTGCCATGCCTCAGAGAGAAAGTTCATCAGAGGATGGTAAGAACAGCCAAAAAGATTATAAGAAGCATACTTCCTGTTATTCAGCATACTGCTTATAAGAGCTATGTGCTTAGGGCTCAAAGCATTGTTAGAAACCCATACACCCACTTCACATTCTGTTTCTATTGCTCCCCTCTGGGAGGAGATTTTGAAGTATTTTTAGCAGGACTACCAGATTCTGTAACAGCTTTGTTCCATATGCCATCGTTTCTCTCACCATGTACATGCATACATCCAAACTAGATTGTGTTGTTTCTCCGTGTCATATATGTGGCAGTAGTAGGTTCCAGATCCCGGTGCAACCAATACGGTGCAACGGGGCCAAGCATCCACTACATGAAGATGCACAGCGTACGCATGCATACATACTACCTGCGATGCTCCGTGACGCCTCCATGACACTCCAGCTGCTTGGCGGAACATCGCGCAGCTGCCATACGCTCTGTACACATAAGTGGAAGCCCCGATTGGTTCCAATACAGGTAAGGAGAGCGGGTGGGTCGGCCCTCCGGAGCACCATACCAGAATGGTACCTGGTGTTCCCAGCAAGCACCGGTATGTCCATCGTATCCCACCACTGATATGTGGATATATACATAATTTTGTATTTATTTATTTTTTCATGTTTATATAGTACATACTGGAGGCGGAGCCCCTTTGAGAGCTGTATGAAACAAAATTTCATTTTAATGTATGCCAATTAGTATACGTTCAAAGTGACAATAAAGTTATTTTAAGTCTACGTCTTTCATTTATTGGCTGACAACCACAAGTCCAATTCAATATGTGCTTCATATTCTCTTCCTCGCCATTCTAAATGTAAACTCACAATACAATGATTTACTTAGTTATGTTTCTGAAGATGTAGTACCCTTAGTTAAACCAATTTCAATTCTAGCCACTATCAGTCATGGTTCTGCCACATCAATCCTGCAAAATAAGCTGATTCAGAACTTGAAGCAATGAGCTTGAAATATCCAGCCAGGATAATGAAGAACACTTTCTGAAGTATCAGCACAAAATGGAACCAGAATATATATGCATATGCATATGCATATGCATATGCATACATACACACACACACACAAACACACACACACACGTGAGTGTGTGTGTGTGTGTGTGTGTGTGTGTCCCTTGACTTACAACTGATTGCTTAGTGATTGTTTGATGTTACAATGGGCTCCCCAAAAGATACTTACAAACCAGTTCTGAAGTTCTGGTGGCTGGTCCCCACAAGGACATATGATCACATTTGATGTGCTCAATGATAGGCCTACATTTACAGCCATTCACAGTGTCCCATGGTCACATGGCTAACATTTACTATTTTCCAAATATCAGGGTTTACTTTCAGTTTTTGGTAAAAAGACCCATTAGGGGAAAAATAGGATTCTCTTAACAACCACATTTAAGATAATTCTTAATAATAATCAAGATAACCCCCTTAACTGCTGCAAAAAAGCTAGTAAAATCAGATGGACCTGTAAGGACCCACTTTATGACCATAATGGGCAGGCTCCATTATGACTGTAAGTTGACAACTACCTGTAAAACTTTATCGTCTCAATAGATAAGACAGAGTGTTGTCCTTTCTCAAATAGAAGACTTAAGGCATTGATGGCTAACCTTTTTGTTATTGGGTACCCAAAATGCAAGGGCGCGTGCGCAAAAGCAAACGTGCATGCCTGCACCTATAATGCAAAGCATGCTCCCATATGTGCATATGTGCATGTGTGCATAACCCCTCCCATGCTCCACACACATACGCCACACTGCTCGCCTCCAAGCTGAGCTTGAAATTTCATCCAGGAGTCCGGGGGAGGCAGTTTCCGCCCTCCCCATGTTCCAGGAAAGCTTCCAGAGCCTGGGGAGGGCAGAAAACAGATCAAATGGGCCAACCAGAAGTTCAAAAATGGAGGACTTCCTGAAGCGTGGGGAGGGCGAAAATGGCCTCCCCTGGCGCCCAGAAACTGATCATTTCCAAACTTCTGGTAGGCCCAATGGCCTGGGGTTTTTTTCCCTTCCCCAGGCTCCAGAGGCTTTTCTGAAGCTTGGGGAGGGCAAAATTGGCCTTTTCCAGCCTTCAGGAAGGCCAAAAATCAACTGGCCGGTGCATGCATGCATGCTGGCAGATATGGCTCCGCGTGCCACCTATGGCACACATGCCATAGGTTTGCCATCACGGACTTAAGATGATATTTTTAAAAGAAAATGCAGCACAACTATCTACACGTGTATGTTCTTTATGTACAGGTAGTCTTCTATTTACAACCATTCATTTAGTGCCATTGTAACTTCATATTTTTCTCTCTCTCACTCTTTCCCTACCTACCTACTGTATTTCTCTCTCTTTCTCTTAATATGTTTGTTAAGTGAATCTGGCTTCTCTATTGAGTTTGCATGTCAGAAGTTTGCAAAAGGTTATAATATGCTAGTTGCCTAGCATCTGAATTTTGATCAGGTGATCACAAGTTGCTGCATTTGAAGTTACAATGGCACTGAAAAAAATGACATGATTATTTCACACATACAACTATTGCAGCATACCTGTGATCACCTGATCAAAATTCAGATGCTAGGCAACTAGCATGCATTTATGATGGTTATAGTATCCTAGAGTCATATTATCACCTTTTGCAAACTTCTGACATGCAAACTCAATAGAGAAGCCAGATTCACTTAACAAACATGTTACTAATTTAACAACTGAAGTGATACACTTAAAAGCCATGGCAAGAAAAATTGTAAAATGGTACAAATTTCACTTACCATATTTTTTGGAGTATAAGATGCACCAGAGTATAAGACACACCAAGGTTTTGAAGAGGCAAATTTTTAAAAAAATAGTAGGTAGGTAGATAAGAGGGATAGAGAGGGAGAGAAAGAGAGAGAAATACAGTAGGTAGGTAGGGAAAGAGTGAGAGAGAGAAAAATAGAGATAGGTGGAGAAATACAGTAGAGAGGGAGGGGGGAAGGGAGAGTGTGTGTAGGTAGGTAGGTAGGTAGGTAGGTAGGTAGGTAGGTAGGTAGGTAGGTAGTAGGTAGGTAGAAGGATAGAGAGAGAGAAATAGAAAGAGAGAAATACAGTAGATAGGGAGGGAGAAAGAGTGAGTAGCTAGGTAGGTAGAGGGATAGAGAGAGGGGGAGAAATACAGTAGATAGGTAGGGAGAGAGGGAGAGGGAGTAGGTAAGTAGGTAGGTAGGGAGAGGGAGAGGGAGAGAGGGCGAGGGAGGTGGGGGGGAGAGAGAGAGAAATACAGTAGATAGGTAGGGGGAGAGAGGGGGGGTAGGTAGATAGAGATTTCCAGGTATATGTGCTGGAGAAGGAAATAGCTGACAATCTGCAGCACCTAAGACTTTGTTCCTGCTGGCACAGCACTTGATCAATCTAATTCTCATCTATCAGTTAAAGAGTTTTCCAAAAGGGAAAAAAAAAGTTTTTGCACTATGCAAACCTCCCCAAAACGGCCCATTTTTCACGAAAACAGGCCTTTTCCCCCCAAATAAAAGGCATGAATAGCCCGGGGGAGGGGGCCTTGCAGAGTGCTCCGGGGGGAGGGGATGAACAAAAAACAGCCCGTTTTTCATGAAAATGTTTTTTGTCAAAAAAAATATATGCATGCATAGCCTTATGGAGGCTTATAGAGTGCTGCTGGGGGCCAGGGGGACAAAAAATGGCCTGCATTTGGCTCATTTCTGCCCTCCCCATCCCCCAGGAGCTCTCTGAAAGCCTCCATACAGCTATGCACGGCCATTTTGGTGAAGGGGCGGGGCTTCAGGAAGCAAAAAATGCTGTATTTGATGTATAAAACGCACCCAGATTTTCAGCCTATTTTTTGAGGAAAAAAGGTGCACCTTATATTTCTTGCTTAACACAAATTTTGGACTCAACTGGGATTGTAAATCAAGGAACAAGTACATAATGGATTTCTGTCCATCTTTTGATATCTGAGGAGATAAAGGAGATAAAAGGCCAGATATCTGATATCTGGCAGGAATGTTTTTATTAAAATTTACTTAGGTCGTTTGAGAGCTCTTAACATTTTAATAGTTTCCTCTGGATTTCTAGAATCAAAATTGCAGGGTGGAGGGGGGGGATATTCTTATGCATGAGTAACTAAATGGACCAAAAATGTTATTTCTCTTCCATCCTCTCACCATGTAATCTGCTTTCTAAACTGTTGCAAGACAGTTTTCAAATACATTAAGTACAGCCAAGTCTATTAAGTGATCTGTGTTTAAAATAAATCAGAATCAATTTATTATAAACTTTTAACGTCACAAACCTGAAAACACCTATTGTAGAATAAATGAATGCAATATGTAGCAGCAGATGTCTTCAGCAATGTTCACGAGGCTAGAATTTAGATAAAAGTACTGTGATCTAAAATAAAAACATTAGATGTATTTTCTGACTGAAATCTTGATGACACTTTTGCATTGATCTATGAGGATTCATCTCTGTTACTGCCATATAATGTCGTTTCCTCCTACAGCAGTAGATTAAACTCATGCAACCACATCTCCACTAGTGCATTCTTTCCCATAACTCTGATGGGAATCACAGGCTTGCTGGTAAAAATATTAAGCCACTCCCAAAGGGCCAGTTTGCTCCCCCCCCCCCTTCAAGGAAAATAAGGGTAGCAGTAATAAAGGAGACACTACTCACCCAGAAAGGACAAGGAGGACTGCATGGTGTGAATGACAGGATCAGTGGGTTGCCTGATTGCAAAGGCAAATCAGAAGCAATAAAGGCAGAAGACCCAGGCTGTGAGTCAGCCAGGCAAAAAGGAAAGTAGGAAACACCCCTGCTTTGCCCTGGGTCATGTAACTTCCAATCTGCAGCCTGGGAAGAAGAGAACCAGAGCAAGGAGGAGAAATTCCCACAAGACTAAGCCTGGTGTGTGAGCCACATTTGAGACATTTCTCTAAGACCTTTCAAGAGAGCCACTTAACAGAGACCTAAACTGGGTTGCTGTATCTGTCAATGGAAAACTTTAAAACGCACATTGATTGTGTAGCAATTATACTAATGTGCATAGCTTGCTTGTTTCAAACAAGTACAAAACCATCGTTTGTCCTGAAACACAGCTTCCAATTCACTTTTATATGTGAATCCTGGCCAAAAATAGACACAATCTTTCCAAAATGTCCACTCATCATTTCTCAGTGTTGTGTTTTTAACAGTGGGATATAATGCTTTTTCCATGCAGTGTTCCGAAGTCATGTAATTGTCATTTGCATCCTTCCTAGCCAGCTTCTAACAAGTCAATGGGAAAGCCAGCAGGGAAAGTTATAAACTTCTATCATGTGATGTCTCATTTAATTACCTCATTAATTAATGATAAGTTTCCAGTCTCAACTGTGGTCATAAGTCTAAGATTACCTGTACATTTTTTCCTATACCATTTTTTAAAAACATTTTAACTCAAGTTTTTTATTTAATGATTGGTTTCATAATGTTTGTCTCTTATAAGGATAGATGGTGGTGCAATGCTTAGAATGCAGTATTGCAGGCTAACTATGTCCACAGTTTAGAGTTCGAGTTGACTCAGCTTTTCATTCTTCTCAGGTCAGTAAGATAAAGACCCAGATTGTGGGAGGCAATATATCGACATTGTAAACTGCTCGTACAGTGCTGTAAAACTCGATAGAGCAATATATGAGTCTGAGAGCTATTGCTATTTTATAAAGTTATGCTTCTTTTTAACTGTATTTTCTTATCATGGCATATACAGGACCCCATCCAGGGCTTCTTTGTGGAGGGAAGGTTATTTAATATATATATCAAGATATTCACAAGATAGTGTACCTAGATCAAACTGTATAAGACACAACCAACTTATGATAAGTACCTAATAATTAATAAATTAAATATTATTGTTCCCATAAGATAAACATTAGGAAATAGTGTCAGGTCTGCAGTTATATTCCTTTTAGAATCTTTGGCCTGACACACTCTATTATTTTTCTATGCTGATGTACCAACATGTCTCTCTTATTAGATTGGAAGTTTAAGGATAGTTCTGCCTTGGACTCCCATTTATTTCTGGATGATATTTGGAATGCTGACATACAGATGGAGTTCAATTAAGAATTTAAATTAACCTCCCCCCCTTTTTTTGCTACAAATTGGTGGGAAAGGAGGCTACAGAATTATATAATCTGCTCTGTCCATATCTAATTTTATAAATATTACCATTGGTCCAGAGGTGGTATTCAACAGGTTCTGACCAGTTCTGGAGAACCAGTAGCAGAAATTTTGAGTAGTTTGGAGAACCAGTAAATACTACCTCTGACTGGCCCCGCCCCATCTATTCTCTGCCCAAGTCCCAGCTGATCGGGAGGGAATGGGGATTTTGCAGTATCTTTCCCTGGAGTGGGGAGGGAATGGAGATTTTACAGTATCTTTCCCTACCACATCCACCAAGTCACACCCACCAGGACATGCCACACCCACTAAGCCACACCCACAGAACTGGTAGGTAAAAAAAATTGAATCCCACCACTGCATTTGGCACCTAGTTTGCCACCTTTAAAATAAGTACACATATTGGAAATTAAATCGTCTCTTTCTGCCACTTTACATCTCTATGGTAAATGGGAAGGTTCCTCAAACAATTCTTATCTTTGTCCATCAGCTGTCTTATTATTATTAATGAAATGAGTGTCGATATTTAAGAGACAAAGGAACTCTCTGTCTCAACACATTATTTAAAAGTAAGATCTGCATATTTTTTAGTAAATCAACATTTTACTTCAAACATAATGAATGCCTATAAATTGGGTTAATGTTTTGGGTGCTCTCCAAATCCAGTCTCCAATTTGCAGCATACCGATAACTGAAATGTCCAGCAATTGGAACAATTCCAAAGTTCTGGCCAAATAGCTGGTAGTCATGGTAGTACAGCATTATATAATTCAACAATCCAGACCAATTTAGAATAATGGCTGGCGACTAAAAGAAGAGATGGTTAAAGAAAAAGAGGCCAGTAAAATTCAGACAACAGTACTGTTGCTAGGTTTCTTTCAGCATTTTACATAGACATGGATTCTCAACATAAGTATTAACTTAAGCTTTCTCCTTTGAATCTTGTTTTTAAAAGTCAAGTTTCAGCTGCAGGACAGATGAGGTAAGTGTTTCTGGATAAAATGGAAATCTTTTATGAGGTACTAGGCAATCAGAGCCAAAATTGTACATCATTCACCGTTAGGAATAGCTGCCAAGACAGAGAAAAGTTCTTCAAAATAAACAAAACTGCCTTGGCTTAATCCTTTCAAATCTAAGAGAATGTCCTTGATGATATTTCACATTGCATTGCAGATAACCATGAAATTGCTTGCCTCTCAATGAAATTATTATACATTATTATATATGAAGTTATAATTATTTCTGAAATCTAGTTTCTACTCCAAGATCAGCCTACAAGGATTTAAAAGGAAGTTAGCAGAATTGGAACAATGATGGTTACCATCATTATCTGGATTTCTCCCCCTAGTTATCATAAAGATGGAGAACCAGTCTTCTTCAAATTTGTTGGCCTCAGACTTTCAGATGAGAAATGGTCATGGCTGAAGGAGATTCATACTTTCTTTTATTCCCCATTCTTCCACTAGAATATATTTTCCTACGCACCTAACTTGGGATCTTGCCCCTAAGTTCCTATCATATTAACAGAGTCCACATTTTGTGTAGTAGCAAGATTCACATTAAATAGCTGTGTTGTATACAATTCTATTTTGGACACCATGTTACATCTTTTCAGCCTATTTTTCTTTCTTTGGTGGGGGGGAGGAAGGCTCTTTCCCACAATCATACATTGGATGGGCCTGTTCATTTCTGTTCTGTCAAATAGAGAACCATCCTTTTCAGCCAGAAGCCTTATTCACTACTGGCAGTTCTCAACTTCAAGCAACAATGGGAACTGTAAAATAAATTGTTAAATGATGCAATCATTAAGCAAAGCATCATGTGACCAACCCCGATTTTATTACTTTTTTGCTGCAGTTGTTAAGTAAATCACAGTGGTTGCTAAGCAAGACAATTATGTAACTCTGATTTGTTACCTTTCCTGCTGGTTTCTCCGCTGATTCTTTTGAAAGTTGGCTGGGAAGGTCACCAATGGTGATCATGTGACCATGGAATAGATAACAATCATAGTGTGATGATAGCCAAGTGCCCAAATCATGATCACATGAACTCAGGGATGCTGCAGTGGTTATAAGTGCAAAGTCTGGTTGTCAGTTTTTTTTTTCTGTATTGACATAAACTTGAATGGCTACTAAATCTAGCATAAGGATTGCCTTGTATTAGAAAACAGCAAAACACTGGGATTTTTTTTTTTCATGACAATTTCAGAATGCTTGATGACTATGCAGTGTAAAGACAAAATTTGGCATAGGATATTCACAAACTACATTACTACTAAGGCTCAGAGAGAAAGATATTAAATCTTTGGATTCTCATATCCTAATCAGCTTTGCCTCTGAACTCAACTTCTTTTTATCCTTTAATATTTTTGTTTGGGCTTGATCCTGAATCAGTGTGTAAGCAAGTAATGTGTCGCAGTTTGTAAGCAAGTAACCCTCAGTAATTCATAAATCACAGTTCTGCAACATTAAACCTGACTTTTATTCATATCTATCAAAAATACAGACAAGCCTTTTCAACACTATAGTGAGGGCCGCATTGCAAAGATAGTGCATCAGATTAAAGCAAACTGGAAATGATAAATAATAAAAATAGAAGATTCCACAATTGTTACTAACTTCCATATGCATTTATGGGATGAGAGTTGGGGACTTGTGAGAGTTAAGAGTTTATCAGTATTTTTAAAAGGCAAAATTTCCATCTGCACAAAGTAGATTCCAATGAAAACAAAACATCTGGTCATAGCATAAAGGGAAAATCACAAAGCTACCTATATAGAAATATTGAGTTGAAGGACCCATGTCTAGTATTTTTATTCCTGACCTTTTCTCTTGATCTCTGCAGTGTTTCCTAACACAGTGAATTACAAAAAATAAATTGCCACCCCTGAAGTCACAGCAGCAGAACATGTTGGTCCCAACTAGAACTCAGCTTCCAATAACTTGGCTGTCACATAGATGTAACATATGTCAGTACACTGTGTTCCTAATCACTAGGTACTTCAAATTAAAAGACATCACCTCCACCCCGTCACAATATATCACTGAGTGTGTATGTACACACACACACACACACACGGACACACACCAGGGAATCAATTTGAACTGAGGTTAAAGCTCCAGATGAGTTGATGGTTAAAGCTCCAATCAGAAATCAGGAGACTGTGAATTCTAGTTCTGGTTTAGGCATGAAAGCTGACCTGATGACTTGGGGCCAATCACTAGGAGATGGAGAGTTCTAGTCCCACCTTAGGCATGAAAGCTGACCTAGTGATTTTGAACCCGGTCAGTTTTCCTTAGCCCCTGATGTCAAGCAAAGGCAGCAAGTCAGTTGATCAATTCTTGTTGAAACCAACAGATCAATATTGATGAGAAAAACAGTCTCTGCATCTGCAGAAAAAAATCTAGCAAGAGAAAAAAAGAAAATGTATATTCAAAGCATTTTTGTTTATCATACAAAATTTCCATTTCACTGAATTCTTTTGCAATGTACATCTAATGAGTTTGGAAATCTAGTTCAGCATGATGGAAGTTGGGTGCAGACAATGATTCATTCATTATTTGAATTCTTTTGGCTAAAACATCTGGAGGAAGATGCATTTGTGAGCCAGAATATAGGCAAGAATTTCTAAAATCAACTTCCTGCCTGGGCTAATAGAGCCCCTAAATAGGTTGCTAGTCAACTCAGCTTGGTTGTTAGAAAAATGACACTGTAGAATCAAGCCAAGTCTGGGTTGTTTGCTCATTTGGACACTGAACTGTTATATAAACATGAATGCCAGAACATTTATTAGTTCATCTTAAGAAAAAAAGCTTGTAAAGACTATTGAAATGTATGTTATTTTAATCTTTTTTGTGTCTGATACTGTGTTCCTTGTCAGTTACATTTTTATTCATAAAATTCCATTCACCAGTTTATCTTCAAAAGACGCTAGGTGAAGTAGGGATATGCAACATGAATTAAATACATACTGTAGATTTAACATGTATCATTTTAAAAAATGACCTCTAACCAGTTTTTATTATCTCCAAATTCTGTGAAAATTAATTTTATGAACATATATGATTTAAACACCTCTAATGCTCTTGGATTTATGATTCCAATGATGCTATCCACATCCTCATCCTACAGTAATTGAACAGTTTTTATGTGCACGATTTAAACTTATTGGAACTACAAGGATCATGTTCAAATTCCCCTATATAGCTGAAAAATATTTTATCAGAATGTATAAAAGAACTTCTGAAATCTCATCTTAAAAAGGTGTTTTCTTCTTTTTTAAATCAATTTTACTAAATTTATAAAAGCGAAACTTTAATAAGCTAGAGAATGCACAACTAAATTTCTGACCCTAGGAACTAGGGTCAGAGAATATACTCCAACTCAGGCATGCAAATACAGATTTAGAAAACTTGCCCATATACTCACTGCCAGCTAACAGAAGTGAGGAAATGAATGTAAAATACATTAATGAACGCAAATGACTAGATCTGTCCAGTCTGTATGGCATCAAGGTGCGAGAAAATGCTTACCGTATTTCTTTAACTCATTTAAGAAACTGATCAGCTGCTGGGAATTCACCACCCTGATCATTAATTTGAAAAGAAAATACACAATAACCTGATAAAAGATAGACGTGCCCTACGCATTCAGGCTGGCTTGCAGGTGAAATATGAATCTGGCATGTAAATTCCTCATCTGTGAATTCTGAAAGGATATTTGAACAATAATAATTTTCAGATGGCCTTCTGTTAGATGAAGTGCATTCACGGAGAAGTACATATATACAAAGGGTGATGCAAACATCAGGCCCTTTAAGCCAATCTTTCAGGGTTTTTCCTCTCCAGAGAAAATGTTACTATATTTTGGAGTGTTCAAAAGTCATGCATCAAACAAGAAAGAAATGGTTTAGAAAAAAAGGAAACCAAGCTGAACAATTTATGTAATTTATGTAATAAATTGTCTATGGGGCCTGACTTTTGGTATATTCTCTGGGTTTTTTGTGTATAAATACACATTGAGAAAATATGTGCATGTTTGTGTGTATACACACACACAATCCTCTGGGTGTATATATGCATGTATGTATGAATTTATGTATGTACACAAACACACACATGCACAAATTTTCTCAATTGTTAGAATTTGCTGTTCCCTTTGTATAAAATGTAAAGTTACTCCGACTCCAAAATAGGATACAGGAAATGAGCTTTAGTTCCTGTTTCCAACATCAGTGAATAATGTGGAACAGAAATCCCAAATGACAAGAGTTTGATTACTATACCAGACTGGGAAAGAAGGCACAAACTATCCTGATCTGCTTTGCAGCCACACTTTGTTTTCTAAGCAGAAACCATGTTAATAGTAACTACTGCTTAAGACCTGGAATGCCTTGTTTTAACTGCAGTCTGTTTCTGAATCTCTGTGTGTTTCTTTGTTCAAGAACAACAACATTCCAAAACATGCTATCTTGCCTAACAGCCTGGTACCAAACCAGTAGATACAGTTCTAAAGTTCTTTGATGAACTCTTGTTGAACAGTGTAACCCAACCATGGGCGCCCACCACTCACACTGTAGTCAGTGTTCTCAAAGAGACCAATAGCAGCCTTAGCCACCACGGAGACCTGGGCCACCAGGAATTTGAAGCCCTGTGCACGAGCCTGTGCCTCTAGAAAATGAAGGAGGCTCCGACCCACACCCGAGCGCCTGTACCATCGGCTGACAGCCAAGCGCTTAAGCTCAGCAGTGTGTGACTCTCTATCAAGAGGCTCCAAAGCCACACAGCCACACACATCATCATCATCATAAACAGCCACCCACAGCCCACGATGGTTTGCACTGTAATAGGCATGCAAGTGTTTAAGGTCTGGTGAGCGCCACAGTAGAAGTTTCAAAGCCACTACAGTGAGGAGTACTGGCAGCACAAGGGCAACCACAAAGGAGTTCAGGAAGAAGCGTAGTCCACTGCTTACAACTGCCATCAGTAATAAGGCTAGTGGCCGTGTCAGCACATAAAGTATCAAGCGGTTTTCCGTATCTTTGAATCCATCCTGGTGGGAGAGAAATAGAATAATATAAAAACTCCTAGAGTTTAGAGGAACCTAAATGCCAGAGGAGTTATTAGGCATACATAACTGACTTTAACTCTGTCTCAGAGAGCCATCAGATTCTTACCTGGCCCTGTTCAAAATCAGTCAGTGAGCTTTATGAAACAGTAACGATATAAACTCAGATATTCTTGGTTCTATCCTAGCATTCAAAACCGCATGATCATATTGTCACAAATCATTTCCCCATAGTTAAAATCTCACCTATTACTTTCATGTTACAAGAAAAAGTCAAAAGCAACAGGCATGATATCTTTTAAGAAAACTTTTATGCTGTTGAATTTTTTAACTAAAAAATTCCAGAAAATATTTTGGACAGATTTGAGACTCTCTAAGACTACACCCAAAAATATAATTAGACTTCTACTATGTCTTGGATAACAGCTGAATCCATGAAACTTCCAGAGCACAAATACAAGTATTATCAACTTGATGGAAGATATCTTCTGGAAAAAAGGTTTATGTGAATCGACACACAGAAACTTCTCAAAAGAAAAGAAGTCCTGATGTAGCTGGATCCACATTTCTCCTCCATCTCACCTTCAGAAGTTCCAAAACAATGGGGGCTTCATCCTCTCTCATTTCCCTGATTAACAGCTGTTCTGGGTCCAAGGTAGGCATATTGTTAGCAACAGACACCTAAAAGGAAAAAAAAGTTCAAATGTTGACTGAAAAATAATTTCAGACTATAGTGAGAGAACTTTTTGCTTAAATGGAGAAATAAATGCTCCTTAATACTCCAAGAGAAGGCAAACTCCAACTTATTCCATAAAAAGGTGCTCAACCATCTTCACCATATAACATAAATATAATTTGGTAAATATACATAAGCAGTTAGGGAAATCTCTTCACCTCTTCATAATCATTTCTACTTTACATTCCCCCCCCCCATATTCTCCACAGAGCCTTCTTTAAATTATGAGCAAAATTGTGATATGTATCACTCTGAAAAAGGGTGATGTCTAACAGGAAAAAAGAATTATTGCAAATGGTTTTATTATAAAATCAGTCTAACATCACACAGGGCCAAAATCATAGATTGTTGATTACAGCACAATTTAAGCTAAAACACATCGTGGTTTAGCACGATGCACGAGTCCCTAAAGAATCACTGGCTAGGTCTATGCCACCTGCTCTTCTCTGACTTCCGTTTTTTTCTTTCGTTATACAGGGCCCCTTACTTCAAAAGATAAATCTGAAAGGGATTATTGAGAAAACGATGGGTTTTAGTGCATTACATCTACTGCAAACATCGTTTTCCTTAGAGTGAATTCATCAGCAGCTTATCAGATGCATAGGAGCAATAAAGTTTTCCTCGTAAAATTTACAACAGGAAAACTGCAACACCTGTATTTTGCCTAGCCCTCCCTTTCATAAGAGGGCCACCGCAGCCACGCCCCTCCGCAAAAAATAGAAGCACCTTATTTAGCATACTCACTACAGTTAAACCTTTCACGGTTCCCCCTCTGTTCCCAGTGGACTCACCCAGTTTGCAGGCTATTGGTGACTTCTCCCCTGCAGAGAGGCGCATGGGATATTCCAATAACTGTTACATTCTCCACTCCTCCTTCCAGAAGGACGGGAGGGGTGGGTAGGAAACAGTCGTGACCCAAAGGTCCGATAATTCAATCTCTCTTTCCAGGCTGAAGGCTTTACTGAATATGCGCATGCGCTACGTTCTTTCTTCGACCCCTATCCCTTCCTACGCAGCCCTTAGTTACTGTTGCTAAGCGGGACCAATGTGGCCTCTCGGGTATGCCAAGACCGTCGAGTTGTAGAGATGTCAGAGAAAATGGATGACTGACACACACACCCTTCCTTTTCTGTTTTGCATAACAACAAAAACAAAAACTATGGGATGCGTAAATCCTGGCAGACAGGAATTCAACAGATGAATCTATGCACAAATCATGGCAGACAAATTCAACAGGTAAATCTGTACATAGAAAAGGATACGTTAATTGTTTCCTTCCTGGATGTTATAGCAGTATTAAAAGCACTATTAACCCTGAGGAGCCTATGTTGTTTGCACCTGGAAAGGCTTTGGGATTGACAGGATTTTTCTTTTTGCCTAAACCTTTAAATTACATTCATAAGCTAACAAGCCAGCCTTGGTCTACGTAGAAAGCAGAATTCTTACTACCTACGTGGGAGACTACCATACCAAGAAATCCTAGAACTGCAGATTAGAACAGGGAGGATTTAAAAACAAACAAAAGAACAAAAGAACAAAAACATTCTGGGAATGGTGGTGGCAGCCCAATTCCATATCAGGCCAGCAAAGTGCTAGATTCAGTCATATATGTAATCAATAGTTTAGCTTGACTTAAAAATGGATTTTATACATGTTTAAATTCTACCTTGCCCCTGTCTTGGAATATAGCTGGCTGAAAATTTAAATGGTAACCAATTATACAGTAGGTTTATAGAGCCCCAGTTTTGAAAGCTACCAAAGCCACAGAAATTCACTATGTGGCTGCACCAATAATTTTGAGTTCAACCAACCTCTCAGGATTCAGCTGTGGGATAGAACAAAGAGCTTACCCAACTAAGTCACCTTAAGTTCATGGAAGATAGGATAAATAAATATAAACAAAATGTATACTAATTCAAAGTACTGATAGAGGCAGTATTTCATCTGTAAGTTTCTTTGTATCCAGCTGGCTAATGTTAATCTTAAAGGAGAGCCTGAAAACAAAATCAGCGCTGTTCTGAAAATATTGTGTGGTTTAAAAGCTGTTGCTGAAAATAAAAGACAGTTCCCAGTACCAAACCAGTATATAGTTAATTAGTTTGCACTTCATTATATAATATGCATATTACTTGTTGAAAATATTAATTTATTTTCAGTATTCATTATATGTAGTACATAGATGGTCTGAATGCACCCCCCTGTGGTGACAGGAAATACTGAAGGCAAACAGTGGTATATTATCATAGGTTTGATGCATTACATTGATGTGCAGCTATTTGTTGTGCCAAAATGCTGAGTAGCAACTATGAGAGCAAAGCTGTGATAAAGAAATCCTTTAGTTAATAAGTTACTACACCTTATGTATACCTATGAAACACTTGTGGCATGTTAATCTGTATCACAGGGATATTGAAATACATGCCTAATGCTCCAAAACCCCAAGGCAGAAATTTTGTTTTTAACACTGATTTGGAGATTAAGTACAGGGGGATAGAGGGCTAGTTGTAGAAGTCATCAAAGACTTTTGTTCTTAGAACAGCACATTTTCTAGTTGTCTTGTTTAATATCTTCACAAAACCATTAGATATTTTCATTAACTCTTAACAGGAGAATGCAGCTATTGTAATCTTCATTAACTCTAATAGGAGAATGCAGCTATTGTAAACCCTTGTCTGAAGATCAATGCACTCCCATCTGGGATGGTCGTCTTCTCCCATCTCCCATCAAGCATGCAAGTTCAAGAGGGATGCACACAAAGCGGTGAAAGAAGGGTACAGCTGTATAACCAGCCAGATGAGTGAAATTCACCTTGATGATCAATGGGGTACACTGATAGATGTCCCATCTAGATCACCCCCATATCCCCTTCATAAATCTTGAACCTTGGCCAGCTGAGTCACATGTCCAAAAACCTACTAAGTACCTGAGGCAGAGGAACAGGTTCAATCCTGACAAAATCAAGTGGCGTGCTTATTTGGGTCCTCTGGTTCTGGACATGTTCCATTAACTTTCAGTGGATTTGCACTTCCCTGTTTGAGCTTGTTGTGCAATCTGTGGGGCCTCTCAGACTGCAACCTTCTGCTCAAAGAGCAGGTAATACCTGTGTCCAAGAGGAACTTTTGCACAGCTATGTGTTAGTATGCCAGTTGTGACCTTTCCTGGACTGGGACACCTTTCATGTCCTAGTCATCCCACATTAGAGCTTACTATAACATTCTATGTAAGCCTGCTGTTGAAGACCGTCTTATAGTTACAGTTGATCTGGCAGTACAGGTAGTGTTGGTAATGTTGCATTACACTCATATGATCTCCCTGCTTCACAAGCTGCAACAGCAATTCAAGGTACTTGTGATCAGCTTTAAAGTTTGCCTGGTATAATCCAGCAGAGAGGATGTGCTTTGGGCCCTGTCCATTAAAAATGTTTAAGAAACACCACATTAAACAGTCATTTTATGGGAACCAGGAAATATGTCTTCTCTGTTGCAATGCCTGCTCCTGGGAATGATGGTTCTTCAGAATCATGTAGGCTCCGCCATTGTGATATTTAGAAAACCTGTTTACTCTCCTAGGCCAGGGGTGTCAAACTAGCATCCCGGAGGCTGCATGCTGCATGCATCACAGAGACTACACCCACTCCAGCTCCATGAAGGGAAAAAACATTCTGAAAAGTCATGTGATGGCAATGTGAAGCCACAAGTTTTGATACCCGTGTCCTAGGCCTTGGGATATGTTAATTGAGAAGAGAGGTTTTACATTTGTTATGTTTTCCAAACAGCTTTGTATACTCTTTTTATAGTTAGAGTTCTGCTTAGGCCTGTAAATAACTTATTTGAGAAAAAAACTTCTGACCCACTAGATCCCCACAATTGCTTCATATGTAGGCCCTTCCTTGATACCAAAAAAATTTATTCCAAGGGTTGGCAATTCTGAAAGCAAGAAGATATCAATCCGTATCAAAACTCTTTTGCTAATTCATTGGGTAGTGTGTTGATATTATTGTCCTTAATATGATATATTTTTCCAGGTTCTTGTCAGGAATAATAAAGTCTAGGAAACCCCAATGTTCTTAATATACGGTACTTGGTATCAATTCATGAAAAAGTTTCAGCATTGCAGCCCTCATGTGAATGAGCTAATCCTGATATGACACGTGAGGAAATCCTTTATTTAAGATGTGAGCATAAACCTTAAAAATCCTTAATGTCTAAGGTATGTTTGCTTCTGGATTTGCTTTGCTTTTCTGGTGAAAGAGCTGACCATCTTCCGCCCTGCTGCAATGCACTACCTCCAAAAAACTATGTTGGCTCTCTCTAGATTTAAAACAAACCTTTAAAAATGACATTTTTCTAAGTATTTTATTTTTAGTTAATTTTAGTACTAATTTTAATGTATGTATCTACTATTACTTGATTTCAGTATTACTTGAGTTTGAATAACAGAATTTGAACTGAATACTTGACTAGATTTTCACAGCTAAGGTGCAAATCAAATAAATCATATTATGACTTGATTTATAAGCCCAGTTACCAAAGCATATTACTTATTCATCTAGCCAAGTTCTGGCTATATATCTCCCAATATTCCTTTGTTAGCTCAACTAGAATTAAATCAATGGCTTGTCAGTACTTTGGACCACAAACTAGCTACATACATTCTAGTCTGCCATGCTATGCAAACCTACTACTGTCTCTTCAGAGATAGGCATTCCACAACTTTCTTCTTCTAGAATATCAAGAGGCTTGATAATCTATTGAATTGTTCAAGACTGTTACCAAAACCTCATTTCTGTTACTACCTATCTATGCTAAACTTTAATAGTATCTATATCAAGTATGTACTATATCTGAATAAAGTAGCATGGAACTGAGAAAACGAAGAGTAACACACCTTTTCATCGTTTAAAAAAAGGCCTTGTCAATAGTTGAATGCATAACCTACTTCTCAAGTTGAATGGCAGAAACCCTGAAGACCTTGTATTTTCTTATCCCAGTTCATTAACAGATAAAATATTAAAAAATGACTTAAAAAAGTACTGCAGAACCTTGACCGTTAGGAGAAATATTTAACATTATTGCATGATAAATGTGATCCAGCCTACATATGGCGGCACACTAAAAATACAACTGAAAAAGACCAAAGGTGCATCAAAGCAGTCTTTTATTTTCATTCCAGCTCACAAGGATCTTTGATTCTGTTGTGTTTGTTAGCACCAGGAACTAAGGTCCACTCAGGAAGAAATGTACTTCTGCACATGATAAAGGGCTATAATGGAAACAGAAGGAATTAGCCATAAAAGCTATTGTAGTTGTATGATGCAGTCTATAGTAGCTCATATAATCGTCTCCTATAGTATCAAGCAATCTCAAGCCTGAATGTCCTGTTTCCTATTTTACAAAAAGGATTATGCTATTTCACAGCAGTATGGTCCACAGAAAGGAAATTAAGAGATCAGCTGCCCATTAATCACATTCCTGTCTAATAGAATGAGTAGAAGTCCTAGCTACAATTACGCTTTTTTTTTTTTTTTTGCTAGAACAAAATGTTTTAAATATAGGGATGGATTTGAGTAAAAATAAAAGACCAGGCTGGCGCTTTCTCATGTGCAGTATATATTGATGCTGAGAGGGATTATTGTGGCTGCAGGGATAGAAGCAGCAGCGGCAGACCACATAGGATCAGAAGAATAACAAAGGACATGCTTTGGACCAGCAGGCAAGGGTTGAACCCAGATATTTGTTGAGAAAATTTGTCCTGAGGAACTCAAGCAGAACTCACTTGGTGAGCAGACCACCTCAAATACAGTATATGTTTGAAGTAGTCTCGTTCCAAATTACCTAATGTAGCCCCATTCTTATTTTTTTAGAAATCAGACTGTTCCTGACCAATACTCCAGTCCTGGTATGTGAGGCAGCTGTTTTCTTAGAAGGTGTGAACAAGTTGCATGTTTGGTATTGTTTGAACAA